TTTTTTTTCTTTTTTAGCTCCACAAAAAAAGCTAGAGGGGAGATGGTGATGTATTTAGCTGCAGAACAGCATGTTTTTTTGAAAAAACTCCTGTTGCAATGCTTTAAATGATATGTCAGGACAGGGTTTGGGGTGTCCCGCTAGGAAAACCTGAAACTCTCAGTATCAAAAGCTACTCTTCCTCCTTGCTCCCTCCAGGGGGATACCTTGGGTCTTGGAACTGTTTAGCCTACAGAACTGAGGCATATGTAAGGAATATATAACACTTGGGTGTCGTAGGAAGGATTCACTGCCTGAGTAATGTAGATGCGATTGTAACTATGTCCGTTCTGACCTCAGAAATCTATGAAGTACTGTATTGGCTCACATTGGAAGGTGCCTTTGCTGTTGTGGCACCTGGGAAACTTAACATTATAACATGTATTTTGCTGTAACTGGTATGGCTAGCAGACAGTTGTTGAGACAGGACATGCGAAATATCAGGTGCATTGGATCACTAGGCTTAACGTGAAGTGTGATAATCAATTGTATGGTACTTTTTGGAAAAAAAACTCACTTCTCATTGTCATTGAGCGTGGAGGAGGGAGTTGGCAGTTTGTCACTTTCTTGCATGGATATTAGATTAACAAAATGAGGTTGTAATTTGGTGCTATTCATTGCTCTTAATTCATTGAATTTTGGTTTGTGATGACAATGTCAGATGTAGGATAGACTCATTGTCTCAAAACTTTACAACTGTAGTGAAATTGTAGGATAGAAGATAAAGCATTGGAGTTTTTTTCCTGTGGTGTTTTCTTTTTAGTTTCTGATGTTATGGCATGTTTGACTATTACAGATACTTCATTCGAACCTTCTGTTGCACTGGCAAGTCTTGTGCAGCACATACCGTTACAGATGATTACAGTACTCATCAGGAGCCTTACTACAGATCCAAATGTGAAAGATGCAAGTATGACTCAAGCCTTGTGCAGGTACTGTATTTTGTTGTAAAGGGGGGGAAGAGTCTCTTATTCTTGCCTTTTTTGAAGTTACTTGTCACTTATGTTTCATTCAAATTCCCAAACTTTTAAAATGGTAGTTATGCTGTCTAGCATGTTAAGGTAATATGTATTTATGATGCTATGGATGTTACTGGCATGGTTTCAGCTGCCTTCATTGCTAATGTGGGTTTTCTCAAGCTTTGCTAGAGTGGATGAAAGAGAAGATTAAACAGAAACTTAAGAGGAAGTCAGCTGTGTTCCTTTTAGATGACATATTATGTTAGGTCTCCCACCTAATGGGAGATAGCATAAATAGGAAACTGTGGGGTTTACAGTCCAGCTGAGAAACAAGGCCTTGTTTTTTAGATCAACGTTTCTGCTTTTCCAACAAGTAGAGTGGCTCTCACATGATTCTCTTACCAATCATTGTCTCCTCTGAAGAGTTTGTTAGAAATTAGTTTTACTGCTTAGTTTTGAGGGTGTGTTCTGCTTAGGTATCTTAATGACTTTTTAGTAGGATAAGAGGGCATAGCCTCTATTTTCATCTTCACTCAAGTCTCCAGAGGTTTTTTGTATGTTCTTTGAATAATACGAGAATAGGAATGATGTAAAAACAGTTACATATTATGCTTCCTGTCACTAATCTAAACATGAGTAAGCATTGAGATTAGTAGCACTGTTAACAAACTGTGATTCAGCTTGCAGTCTTGGTTAGTATCTTCAGATATGTGAGTAATAGTGATACAGGAAGATGACAGTGGGAGAAAGATGAAGACCTTCTTGAAGTTCTTTGAGTTTTTTTAAAGCCTGAAGAAGAAGCTGTTGTTGAGCACTGAAGGGTAGAAAGCTGAGTAAAGCAGTTAAACAGGAGGCTGTTAGAAATTTGTTTAAAAAAAACTTGTAACGAGTCTTCTCACTAGAAAAATTCAATATCTTCTATATTTTTAACTACATCCATTTGAGGGTAGTGTAGCACTTGCATATCTTGGTGAAAAACTGAGGTATTTTCACATTGAAAATATTCCTTCTATTTACATTAAATTGAAAATCTGTATTTGATTTGAAAACGTAATGAGAAGCAGCAGCATTAATATTGTAATTTGAGGAATTTCAAAGGATCTGCTTGACTGAACAGACATTAACAAAGCTGTGTGCCCTGTCTAAAATTGAAAGGTGGGAAATTCAGAAGGATTTGTGTATGCTAATTTGCCAGTAATGTCCTGGTGATTAACTTTCATGTTAGTGTAATTTTAAAATTTATGTTGTTACCTGCATCAAGACAACATGATCATATAATTGTAGCTTTAGAATGGCTTCTGTATGCCTCTACTTAGGGGAGTAAGGCAGTGCTGAGCTCCGGGTATAATAGGAGCTGTTATTACCAAATAAGTGCTCTTTCTTAATAACTAACTGTGGCACGTTTTTTCCTCTAGTATTTGAAATGGCAGTGCAATCTTACTTGCCTTCTTCATTCTTTGCAGTAATACTTGCTTTTAAGAGCCTCTAGTTCTGTTCCATGGAAGTAACTTTTTAGGTACCCCTTGTTGTTTTTGTTTGTAGATACTCTCATGTCAATGCTGCTTCCAGTTTCTCTTTCTACGTCTGGCAGCCCTTTGCAGTAATTACTCCTCTTCTGGCTTAGAGGAGTAATTGTAAAGAGGATGATACAGTTGGAATGTTGGGAGCACCAAATTGCAATGTTGTCATCAGGTTTGCATCATTCCCAGGAGATGCAGACCTCCAGGCACAACAAGGTCTCCTGATGAGAGTCAGCAGAGCTTTGGTGACTGCAGATTAGAGACCTTGTTGCTCACTTCCTAAGGGTAACTTTCATGACGCTGCAATCTGTCTAAAATTGAACACAGATTGGTAACTAGTCTGTAATTAGAAAACTAATAAATTGAATCTGTTCAGTGGGGGGTTATATTAGGCACAGGTTCATGTAAGAAAGGGTGCTTGCTTTTTTGGCGTCATTGAGCTGTTCTTAATTGGCTCAGCTGTCTCCTGAAACATTACCTGAAGCATCAGTGAGGAAAAGTAGAAAATTTTGAATCGCTTCTGGGATATATGAATACTTTAATAATCTTCTTCATAGGGCTCAGAGGGAGCTGACTACCTATACTCAGTATCCTGACAAGTATAGTGCCTGTTTGCACTTTAACCCAAGTGTCTTTAAGAGAAACTGAAAATTTTGCTAAGAAAAGCTTCAGACATGACAAGGCTCTTTGCCCTGTCAGTAAAAATTTACAATATTGTAAAACATGTGTAGTTTTTTTGGGGGAATATTTGGTAGTCTGAGGATCTTCTGTTGTTGTTTTGGGTTTTTTCTAATCTGTGATTTCTACTTGAGCTGCCACATTCTTCATCTGATGTGGCTAAGAAGATATTTTTGTGAAAGACGGTACTGTCTGAGGTTGCACAGATAATTTTTTTCTATCCAGACATATCAGAAATACTGGCATATATGGATAGCAGACCTGCTTGTTTGAGGCCTTTAATGTTCTCTTAATGTGGTCAAATGCAAAACACATCCTCTGTTTTTATTCGTGACCATCATGTCCCATATTAGTATCTGCCTTCGTATTAAACATGCAGTCATTGATTGCAACAGAGCAGGAGCCAAGTAAATGCGATGCAGAGAGGATTTAGTAACCAAAATATGTAACAATCGCCTACCAGATCTCAGATTTGATGCTTTTTAGGACAGTCTCAAGCATGCCTGGAAGTTTACCTCTGTTCCCTCTTCTGGCTTTTGTTTCTGCTCTTAAGAGCATTGACTTTGCTTTAAGAGCAGAAGTAGATTTTAAGGATGGGAATTCTATCTGTATCAATTATACAGAGAATGAGGCTTCTCTTTACAAGGTTAATCATACTGAAATGATACCTGTTGTCCTGTTAGTAACTATGTTGAATAGTTTAGTAGTTAATTATACTGACTAGAGAGGACATGTGATGGCCTGTCACATAACCAGAGTAATGGGATGGAACATGGGGAGCCCCAGCCCCTGCCCAGAAGAACTGTTTTTCATCTGGAGTTTGTGAGTTGCTGTGGTTGAAAGTGCACATAATATAAAGATGGTAATCGGATATTTTAGAGCAATGGTTCTAATGTAGGGTTCTGCAGAATACTTGTCTAAAAAGTTAATTAAGAAAACCAAATACATTGTCATTAGGCTTAAATTAACTGTGCAGGTGTTTGTGCCACTGCTGAAAAATACTAAGCCTACAAACTGGGGGTGGTGGGGGGCTTGAAGATGATAGGGCTATGGGGTTTGGGACCTATTTTTAGGCAGGCAAAAGCAGATGTAACCTACTTCTTTGATTCCCTGTTTTACAAAGTGTATGGAAAGGGTGCTGAGAATTAAATGTTTGAATTTAACATCTTCAGGAAATGAGAGCTTTGTGTAAATCGAGAGCAATGATTATGATGTTGCCATGTTTTTCCCAAGTTTTTTTTTGTAGTGACATGGAAGAAACACAGTAAGATCTGTACTTGATGGTTAAAAAGGCAGTCCTAATGATTCCTTATTTTAGAGAAACCTTTGAATGTTATATGTGCAGATAGTATGTAACTCCAAGATATATAAATTTTAGAGTATGTGTACTATGCACTTTTCAGATCTGAATTATAAATTTGTATATTCTTATTATATATTTACATATTAAATATGTAAATTTTAGGTGGCTGCTGGTAGTACAACATGCCCAGAATGCATGTCTGGTGTTGCTAAAGACTGTGGTTTCTTTTTAGTTTGGAATCTGAGGACTGAAATGCTGATTTAAGTCTGTTTGGAGCTCTTTTAGTCTCCAGGAAGAATAGTGGCTGATAGCTTTGTTTCAGATTGATAATCACTAACTATGCCTATTTGTAGTGATAGTGACTGTTTGTTAGACTGCTTGCTTGTAACCTGTTTGGTTCTGTGCTAGATTTTAGCCTCTTAAAATAATTGATCTTTATGAGGAGCTTTGTCAGAACAGTAAGGAAATATACCTCTAACTTCCTGTTCTCATTGAATTATAGGATAGAATTGTAGTGTTACGTAGATTGAGTGGAGCCTTTGGAAGTCATCCAATCCTGCCTGAAGCAAGGCTGGCTTCAAAGTCAGATATTGTTGCTCAGGGCCTTGTCCATCGAGTTAAGAGCCTTCTGCAAAGATAGAGGTGCTTCAGCCTTACTGTATAATTTCTTTCAATGTCTGACCTACCTCATGGTGAAAAATTTTTTCCTTCTGCTTAATTAATGGTGCTTCATCTAGTGTAAAGGTGGGGATATGGACAATTAAAGAAAATCCAAAATATTGCCAAGTAAAATCTCAGAAGAACAAAGCCTAAATGTCATGTTTTAGTTGGTACTGCCTTACGATACTGCTCGTTTCTTAGAATTGCTTTAACTAATCTACCTGCCTTAATTATCAGTGTAAATGGTTAGTTTAGAAGGATGGAAACCCCCTATTTTCTGTTGCTGATATTTCACTATATTTTCTAGGCACAGATAAAGTCCCTTCACTTTTCCTTTTTCCTAGCTGTGGTGAACTTCTTCCTTTTGGGGCACATGTAGACCCCAGGCTGCCAATAGCTACTATAAGATCCTTGTAACACCTGCTGCAATGTAGTTAAAATTACTAGATTTTACTGTTTTAACAGAGTATTTGAGTTGGTTTCCAGGAATGTTGTTCTAACTTGAAGAGGCTTCCTTTTCAAATTTAAACTTAGTAGTCGGGTTTGGTCTGGTTTGGGGTGGAAGGTGTAGGAGGGGAGGTTCCCAGGTACAGGCACTTTTTCACCCTCAGTAGTAAGTTTTTTGACAAAAAATAAAAATGTTAGTTTAATGTCTATAAAACCAGGGTTTGTATTCTTAAATAGCAAGTAACAATAGCATACATAATATTTAATTATATATGCTTATGTGTTTGGGGGTATGTTGTATTTAGTTTTAATGTATTAGATACATCATTATTAGTTAGAGGCAAATGAGATATAATAATTATTTTACTACTTGCCTAATGTTTTTGCATTACTTGTTTCTAAGTGTGTAAATATCTGGCTAATATATAGAATATTTTCTTGAGATTAAAGTTATTGGCATATTGAGTTTTTGTTTTGTTTTACTTTTTATTTTTCATTAATCTTTCAGGATGATCGACTGGTTGTCCTGGCCTCTGGCTCAGCATGTGGAAACGTGGGTGATTGCACTGCTGAAAGGACTGGCTGCAGTCCAGAAATTTACCATCCTCATAGATGTCACTCTGCTTAAGATTGAATTGGTAAGTTAGGAAAGAACATTCAAAACTGGAGGAGAGAGAAGAGAATTTGTAACAGCTTTGCAAATGCAGAGCATCTTTAGTATTGCAACAGGTATTATCTTACTACTCTGTAAAGAATGATGTAAATGTGTCTATAGCTTTCAGTTGCATATAATGATTGTCTGTTTCAAATGGTTGTGGATTTGGAGATTGTTTACATTTCTTACTGAAGTGTCACTTTCTAGATTTACTGAAATAAATGTGGGTTTTTTTAGGTCTTTAATCGACTTTGGTTTCCTCTAGTGAGGCCTGGTGCCCTTGCTGTCCTTTCCCACATGTTACTTAGTTTTCAGCATTCTCCAGAAGCCTTCCATTTGGTAAGTTACTAAATAAATGGTTTTCAATTCTTTGAAAGTCATTTGTGTGACTTGTAAAGTGGGTGTAAAGAGGAACAGAATTGATGCACTTGGATTTCCTCTTTGTTTTAAGGTTCCAGAATCAGATTTCTGTGGTTCACAGACCACTAGGCTTTTTAGCTTCCAGGTTCAATCGCTTAATCTGTAACTGGAAATGAGCATTGTTCTTCTATTTCTAGCAGTAGTATCTGGGCACCGTGTTCTATCTTTGACTGTATACTTCTGGAAATCCATTTTCTGTGGTGTGAAGTCTATTGATAAAGTTGGGCTGCAAGTAGGCTTTCGAGCACAACTATTTGGGGAAAACAGATAGCAAGTTATCGGCTGTATATAGCCTAGTTACCCTGGATAGGTGCCCTAGACCAAGTAGTACTTCACTGTCAGAAAGCTGCACTATCTGTGTTTCAGTGTACGTATGGGCAAACTGAAGGATACTATTTTTAATTGGCCACTCTTCAAAATGCAGTTCACCATTTAAAGTGGTCCATACTAGGGTATGAGGATGACTGTTCATATTAGTACAACAACCTGTATAGTGCCTTCCCGGTTCTCATACTCTGTGTTTAGCTTAAAGTTTATGTGAAATGTGGGTCTTTCAGACTTAACCACAGTAACAGCCTGGCACACTGTTTCTCTAAGCTATCTGCAAGGCTTTCAGGTCTGAAGGGATCACAGACCCTTTGATTAGTGTCAGAGTAATTGCTTTATGCTTGTTTACACTGTTTTTTAATGATAGAAGTCTGAAGTTTCTCCTCCCTCCGCTGCCCTAATCTTGGCCTAGGATAGAAATCGGAGTTACAAATGAAAGAGCCAAGTAGTCTTGAATATGCTCAAAACGTAAATATTTCATATGTTTACTGTCTTGCTTTTCTTCTTTCTTCCTGAGACAGACAAAACATTCATGAGAAAAATGTAAAATGTGAGAAGACTTATTCTACAAATAGATGTTTGTTTTAACAAGGAAAATTTCTACCATAGGCTCCACGCAGTAGTGTGTAAACATCTGTCTTCAGGACTTCATTGTGACCATTTTCCCTCCACTTTAAACAACTTTCTTCACTATCTTTTTATGAGCTACTGCTGTCATTTAGTATCCTAAAATATTTTCTTGAACTTAAATGACTTGTTAACTTTTTATAATAAATGGTCTGAATGTAAAATGGTTAAATGCACATTTGATCAATATAAATTAATTTATTTTGCAGTGCATCTGAGTTTAGGTTCCCTTTCCCTGTCTTTGAACACAGTTAGCATAAATGACTTAGGTTTTTTTACAGAAGAAAAAGTCTTGCACTTACGATGTAGAATTTGTCATGATGTATGCTATGGAATTCTAAAACCTACTGAAGTATAAAATTTTAATTCAGCCTCAAGCCAGAAGTGATATGTATGTTCAAAGTGTAGCTTTCAGTACTATGCAGCATGCTGTAAGAAAGAATTTGGCTCTCAATTTGAGAGAGCTGAGAGCCTATACTTTTTATATTCTTCCATTGTGCTTTGTCTGTACAAAATTATCGTATCTCGGATCTGCTTTATACAGATCTCGTTCTTAGAGCTCAATAGTTACTTTCTCTTGTTATGAACCCACTTTTAGTTTTGACTCTGTAGTAGACTGAACACTCAGTCTTGGTGGTTTTGTTTTTAAACAGTGGATATCTTGCTTACCAAAAGAGTAGGATTTGTTTCTCCTGAGATGTAGAAATATTCCTTATACTTAGAGAACAACTGATCGCTGAAGAAATGGCAAATTAGTATTTTGCACCTGGCCCCTTTTACTTCGGTGTTTTGATGTATGCTAATACTTGTAACTGGCACTTTCCTAAAATTTTGATACTCTTATTTCTGTTTTGTATTTCATGTCTTTACTACCAAAACAATTTGTAAGCTAATTTGTGGTGAGAAATGATTCCATCCACTTCTTTCAGAGTTAATAAATTTTGATCACTTGGAAACTGACAGAGGTATCTAAAATATTTTGGTTTGCAGTGAGAAGTCCCTGCTCTTTGGGACTGCATATAAACAACTTTCTACTTAATGTTTTAAGACTAATATAAAAAAGGTCTCATGCATTTAAATACAGACAGAGCTGCACTGAAGGGAAAGATGGTGGAGTAAGCATTTCTGATCTATACCGAATTTAAAATAGTAATCAATCTGAACTAATCGTCAAGTAGATTACCATATCTGTGGTAAGCTTTTTTTAGCTCAAAAAATTTGTCTTGTTTTATTGAGCGTAGCTCCCTCACTAGGTGGAGCTGTGAGCCAGTTTCAGTCTTGTAAACTGTGATAACATGAATGTATTCATTGGCTTCAGATCACAAGCATTAAGTTCTGTTTAAGGAAAATTGTGAGGTTTGTTTTACATTGATACAGTTTGAAATTAGAACAGGATACTGCACTGTGAGTCCTGGCACAAAAGCAAAATGTTAGCTGTTAATATCCTTAAGATGAGTAGTTTGAACACTTGACCATTTAAAATCTTAACATGCATTTTCTAAAGAGAGCATTCAGTAATTAATTGTGGTGCTTGAAAATTGTCATGAGTAAAAAGTACATGGTTTTCAAGTCATTGTTTCTCAGCCACTTATTTAAGAAACCAAATGACAGGGGACCTTTTGATGTGTAAAACAGTAAAAGTGTAAGGGGAAAAAAAAAAGGAAAAATGCAATTAACACCTTTCTTTGTTTTTCCTTTAGGTTGTTCCACATGTGGTCAGTTTGGTTCACTCCTTCAAAAGAGATGGCTTACCTTCCAGTACAGCCTTTTTGATGCAGTTGACTGAGTTGATACACTGTATGATGTATCATTATTCAGGATTTCCAGAGCTCTATGAACCTATTCTGGAAGCTGTTAAGGTATATTAGAAATATTAAGAGGGTGGAATGTTTGTTTTGTTTTCCCAAATATGAAAGCTTTAATCCCATAGTTCTGAAGAATGTAGATCTTCTGCTAGGAGAAAAGAGCTAACCACATAATCTGATGTCAATTATAACTGTGTTTAGAAAATACTAGAAAAATTGTCCTGAGTGTCCATGATGTGATTTTTAGCAGGCTTTAAGAAAAGCCTGAAATGAGATCCTCTATGAAAAGTACAATCTAGTTTCTTAAGCCTCATGTAACTATTAATTTATTTTGTGAGGTATATTCTAGGCATTTCATTTCAACCTAGTCTAGAAACTGTAACTCTTCAAACTCAATCTGAGAGCACTGATAGTATTGAAGAGAAGTAGGTTCTGAGGAGTACTTGGCATCGTGTTAAACTTTGAGTAGCTCCAAAACACCATTATTAAGCTCTACATCTTAATACTGCAGTCAGTATTGCATGCCTCTGTGGGTAAAGGATGCTGGTCTATGCTGTTTCAAAGCAAAATTTGTCTATTTTAGATAAATATTTAAGTGCATTATGCACTTAAAAATAAAAACACCCCAAAACAAATAAAATAAAGTTGGGGAAAAAAATACAAACCCAAAAAACCCCATGAAAACCCATTTGCATATTACTGCCTGATTTTATAGCTGTAGTATTGCAGCTGAATGTTTTGATGCTTAAAAAGCCCTTATCAATTCAATTCCAAGTATTCTGGACTTTAGTCTTTCATTCTTACATTTTGATTTGACAGAGCAGGAATTTTTCAGGAATGTGTTTCTAGCAGAACAGAGGATGCTTTAGGGGTCTATTAAAGCTTGAAATTTGAGAGATAGTTTTTGGTGGCAGAAAGGATTCTGTGAATATGCAGGTCAAATGTGACTACCAGCCTGCATTTTGAGAGTTCAGTAAAGAAAGTTTTGATGAAGAGGGCTTGAGGGGGTTGGATCTTCTAGGCTCCCAGGGATAGCAAGACCCTGAAGGAAAATACAGGAGCAAGTGAAGATAGAAGGCTACTGAATGGCAGGACCTATTGTAAAAAACAAATCAAAACCCGGTTGTTTTAAATGTTTCTCTTGTAGGATATGCCCAAACCTACTGAAGAGAAGATTAAGTTGATTCTCAGTCAGAGTGCCTGGACTTCTCAATCCAGTTCTTTGCCATCTTGTTTATCTAGACTTTCTGGAAAATCTGAAACTGGGAAGACAGGTCTGATTAATCTAGGAAATACTTGCTACATGAACAGTGTTATTCAGGCACTTTTTATGGCTACAGAGTAAGTCCTTTTTAACACCTTTTTATTGCGAAGGAACTATTGCAGTTGTTGCATTCTTGTTTCTCACAGATTATTAACATGTCCTGGGGTGTCTCAGCTTGCTAAAGCTGAGTGGGTTTCATTGCACTCAGTTATTGATCACTTTGTTCAAGTTCAGCTCCTTTAAAAATCCTGATCCTCTTGTCCAGTGTCAAAAGACAATTTCCTTTTTCCTCACTGTTGTTGCTTCCTTCAGTATTGTTAAAGTTTATGGTGGTGCTTTTGATATAATCTGGAAGCTATTGAAAAAAGTCTGTAGCCCATTCTTCTGAATTTAAATGTTTAAAGAAATAGGGGTTTTGCTATGTTAGTTCCTACTGTACAGTAGTTGCGCATCTGTGCTAGAGCAGAACCCAGGTTTTGAAGGGAAGTGTTAAATGTTTTGCATTCTTTCAAATTGAAGTGATTATCTGTGCTGGAATGATAACTGCATTTTTGTTAGAAGTCTAGCAGGGGAACTAATGTCTGTTTTTCTTCAGTTTCAGAAGACATGTTTTATCTCTGAATCTAAATGGGTGTAATTCACTAATGAGAAAATTACAGCATCTTTTTGCATTTTTGGCCCATACCCAGGTATGTCAGTTTGTCATCTGCTGGTTTTAAGCCTAGATCTATATACTGAAATTTTGGAACAAACACGATGCGATGAGAGTTCTTGAGTGTATTAACAATATAAATATGACAGTTTTGTAGGGGAATGAGTCTGCCTCCAAATGTTCAGATGGTGTGGATGGTCTTAAAGTCTTTCATAAGTGGAACATCTTGGCATTGTGTTCTTCTTATAAATGGGCACTAACAGGTTTTCTTTGAGAATAAAAAAATCCAAGTAAGACCCAACTTGATATACAAGCTGACTTTATGTAACTTTCTAGGATAAACTGTGGCTTTGTGGTGACTTTTACAGTAAATTTAATTGTAGTGCGAATTGTAAAGTGAACTTCATTAAATGTTCAGAATATTTTGCTAGTGCTAGAAAGATGCAAGACACTTTTGTTCTTTGATTAATAACAATAAACATGTGAAGGGGATGAGGAAGAATCACCTTAAAAATAAATTGATACTTAGGAAATACTGGTGGTGTTCTGAAGAAGGATAAATATTTTTAAGCTTGCCAGCAGAACAGTAACTCCTATTATGTGTAACATCGGGTTTACGCTTACTGCATATTTAATATTTGCCTGCAGGATACACTACTTTTATCTTCGTACAAGAGGTGATTACTACAAAATTAATGGCACTTTCTTCCTATGATTAAGTGGTTTAAATGTTTGTGTACCATGTTTCATGCAGTTCCTCTAGAATAACGTAGTCCAAAGTTCAGTGGTCAATACCAAAATAATGTAATCAACTTTTAAAGTAGTTCTTATGTAACTTTGTCTGTCCCTCTCTTACACAGAGGGAGGCATATGCTCCTAGAATTTTCTTTGAGGCTTCCAGACCACCATGGTTCACCCCTCGATCCCAGCAGGATTGCTCAGAATATCTCAGATTCCTGCTAGACAGGTACAGTTGCTGTGCCATTAATGGGAATGAATCTACAGCCTTATCACATAATGTTGAACTCTCAGGAGCAGTCATGTAACAGTTTAATTGCATGAGTGGGGACCAGGAATTTTGGGCCTCATTTCTGTCTGTCTCTGGTTCTCTGTATGATCTATGAAACACTTTTCTTCATGGGTTTAATCTGTGGTTAAGTCTGGATACTGTCTTGTATCCACATCATTTAAAGCAGGTTAGAGTGGTAGTAATGTTCAATTTTTATGAATCTAAACTTGTGTGTTATGTTGGAGTCATGGTCTCATTGTAAAATTAACGTGGTTGCTGAAAGCAGTTTAGTTGTGCATCTGGAGTTTCACGTTGGTGGAGACAGCTGTACTTCATACAGGTCAGATAAGTCATGAAGAGATACATATGCATTTATAACCAGTTTAATAAACAATCAACTTAACTGTGGTACAGATAAAAATACCTAGATTTATTATTAGTCCTCTTTAATTTTGGCTTGCTGAGATGCGATTTAAGCAATATTGCTTTATGACACAGTCTACTTCTGGAGAAGTGTGTCTCAATGGTAAACAGTGTTCTCTTTTTTTATTTTTTTTCTTTTCCCCTCTCTTGGGTTTCTTTTTCGGTTTTTCTTGCTGTAGTTTCTTAACTTTCTTGGCTACAAAATCCTGACCTTTTCTTTTCTTTGGAAATAGTCTGGCACTAGATAAGTAGCTACTTGTTCTCTTACAAAATCTGATATACAGAACCAGTCAACTGGAGAACTGATTTATTAAGATAATGCCATGGTAATAAATAATTTCGTTAGGGTTTTAATATTTACCAGTTCTCTTGGCATATCCATCGTGTTCTGTTATATATAATGAAACCCACATTAAATGCATTTGTACATCTCATACTCAGTTTTGGATCATACTGACCTGTATGGTTCAGCTTGCTTATATAAAAAAGTAACAAATAGCTTTTGTAATATAAGACACTTCTAGCCACTTAACCATCTATATTTTTAGCGTAACTGGAAAAAAGTCTGAAATGGTGCAGCAGTATTTGTTTGGAAAATAGCACAGCTATTTGGATTCATTTTTCTTTGTCTTCAGGCTGCATGAAGAAGAGAGAACCTTGAAAGCATCATTTCCTGAAAGTATAATGAATGAGAAGTCCCAGGCACAAGAAGCTGTCCATAAAGCACAAGTATTTGCTGAAGCACGTTGTATGGGAAGTGAAGAAAGAACTCTGATAGAGAAGATGTTTGGAGGAAAATTGAAGACTACTATATGCTGTTTGAACTGCAAAAGTATGTCTCAAAAGGAAGAAGCTTTCACAGATCTCTCTCTGGCTTTCTGCCCTCCAGCTTCCTTGGAGAAGGTTGGCCCAAAATGTATGGAATGTTCTGAAGTGAAAGATGACTACATGGTGCAAACTAATACTTCAGCAACTAGTCCTGCTGGAGAAACACCTCCCAGTAATTTGGAAGTAAATGGATGTGACACAGTAATGAATGAAGGATCCATAAAAGATTTTTCTACTGAGCCAAACTCTGAGAATACGACAAATTCTGAACTCAACAAAGCTCAAGATAATAGGGATATGTCTCAGAGGCTAGTAGGTAAAAACACCCTATCAGTTACAGACTTACTGAATTACTTTCTGGCACCTGAGATCCTCAGTGGAGACAATAAGTATTATTGTGAAAAATGTGCCTCTCTACAGAATGCTGAGAAAACTATGCAAATCATTGAGGAACCTGAATACCTCATTCTCACTCTTTTGAGATTTTCATATGATCCAAAGTGTCATATAAGGCGCAAAATCTTGGACAATGTGTCTCTGCCTCTTGTTTTGGAACTGCCAGTCAAAAGAGCAACATCCCCTCTAGCTGTAGTTTCAGGAGGTTGGCCTGTTGGTGTTGAGATTTCTGATATTGGAGAAAATCTTGCTAAAAAACTGAAGCCCTCAGGTGCTGATGAAGTGACCTGCCCACAGTTGGTGCCCTATGTGTTAAGCTCTGTGGTGGTGCATTCTGGTGTGTCCTCTGAAAGTGGACATTATTACTCATATGCTAGAAATGTTACTGGGTCAGGGCCTTCGGAACTCTACCATCAGTCTACAGCTCTTTCTTTAGTTTCTTCTCAGGATAAGTTGTTGACAGAGGACAGTCCTTGTACTGTTGTAGAAAATGAGCTGGACACTGAGATGCCAAGAGAATGGTTTCTGTTCAATGACAGCAGAGTGACATTTACTTCATTTCAGTCAGTCCAGAAAATTACAAGTAGATTTCCAAAGGACACTGCTTATGTTCTGTTTTACAAAAAACAAAATAGCACCTGTGGCTTCAACACCAATTCGGCAAATGGACTCTGGGTAAATGGAGACCCTCCTCTACAAAAAGACCTCATGGATGCAATTACGAAAGATAACAAACTGTACTTGCAGGTAAGATGGAAATTGTATATGAGGAATGATCTCCTTAAAGCTCACAAGAGACTGTCTAAAGGAAAGAAGTTAGCTTTTAAATATTCTGGTATATTAACCTTATCACCAATATCTTTTCCATTTTGATATTTCTAGACAGGTTTCATAGTAAGGTTGTCACCATTAGATGGGAAGTGTCAAGGAAAATGGCTTAAACTCATTTCAGTTTAAATTTTTAGTGGAGATGCTTGCAGGGGTTGTTTAACCACTTGTAATTCTATGCAGGAGAGGCTTTTTGAACAGTTCTAATTTTCATTGCCTTTAAATTATGAAAATGGTTAAAGTATACTTAAACTTTAGTGATGTTCTTACTAAGAAACTTTAATTTGGAGTGAAGTTTTATGTATACAACTGTGCTTACCCAAATGCTAGAACCACTAAAATGAAGACCAGATTCTAGTGATGAGATTGTTTTCTCTTTACTGCCTGTTCTGCCTCCCTCTTTGGAACCACCACTACCAGCCACTCAGTCCCTGTGCTCAGAGAACTTCACCTAGTTATAGTTGCCTCTTCAGTTGCTGTTACAAAAAAACACACTGTTCTCCACATTGTGATGTGGTTTGCTTTGAGCATTGCTGCTGTGTTTGGACCGTGTAACAGTAAAGTGTGTTTTACTGTGTGCTTTGGTGGGTTAAGTTGTTCCTGTAAGAGTTCTAGGCCTACTCAAATTAGAAAAACGAGGTAGATTGAAATTAGAAAAGAACAGCTGAATCTCACTGTGGAAAATCTGTTGTAATAGCTACAGGTGTTTTAAAAACATAAAAGAACTAAGAGTTTAAATTGTAACTTATTTTCAGCCTGTGTGGTTAAAGCATTTGTGTCCTGACCATCTTTGTATGCCACATCTCCTCTTGTTTGTGCAGGGTGGCACAAAACATGTTGTCTTCAGCAGCAATTGCAGATCATAGAATCATAGAATAGTTTGGGTTGGAAGGGACCTTTAAAGGTCATCTAGTCCAACCACCCTGCAGTGAGCAGGGATGTCTTCAGCTAGATGGTGTTGCTCAGAGCCATGTTCAACCTGACCTTGAATGTTTCCAGGGATGAGGCATCTACCCCCAGTCTGGACAACTTGTTCCAGTATTTCACCACCCTCATTGTAAAGAATGTCTTCCTTGTATTTAGTCTGTCTATCCTCTTTTAGTTTAAAACTGTTACCCCTTGTCCTATCACAACAGGCCCTGCTAAAAAGCTGTTCCCATCTTTCTTATGAGCTCCCTTTAGTTATTGAAAGGCTACAGTAAGGTCTCCCTGGAGCCTTCTCTTCTCCAGGCTGAACAACCCCAACTGCCTCAGCCTTTCTTCATAGGAGAGGTGTTCCAGTCCTCTGTTTTTTGTGGCCCTCCTAGACCTGCTTCAACAGGTCCTTGTCTGTCTTATGCTGAGGACTCCAGAGCTGTATGCAGTGCTCCAGGTAGGGTCCCACCAGAGCAGAGGGTCAGAATCACCTCCCTTGACCTACTGGTCTTTCTTTTGATGCAGCCCAGGATATGATTTGCTTTCTGGACTTTCTACACATTGCTGGCTTATCCAGCTTTTCCTCTGCCAGTACCCCCAAGTTGTCCTTTGCAGGGCTGCTCTCAATCTCTTCATCCCCCAGCCTGTATTGATACTGAGGGTTGCCCTGACCTAGTGCAGGACTTTGCATTCAGCCTTTTTGAACTTCATGAGTTTCATGTGGGCCCACTTCTTGAGTTTAAAAATAAGTTCAATGTTTTGCTTTGTCTGGTCACTAAGGACTTCACCTCACTGCTGTGACTCTTCAAATATCATGGAAGGTGGCTTTACAACTACATCAGCCAGTTCCCTCAGGACTCTGGGATGAATCTCCTCAGGAAACTTATGTATGTTCAGGTTCCTCAGGTGGTCACAAACCTGATTTTCTCTTACAGTGGGAGGGACTTTGCTCCCCCAGTCTCTTCAGGTCCATCTACTCGAGGTGTGGAAAGAGAGGTTGCCAGTGAAGACTGGCAAAAAAGTTGTTGGGTACCTCAGCCTTCTCTTTGTCTGTTGTTACTAGTTTGCTAGTCATATGCATCCCTTCCTGCGTGCCCCCACCCCATATGCTTCCTTTGACCTTTTTTTTTTCTGGCTGATGTACTTGTAGAAGTCCTTATTATTCTTTGCATCCCTTGGCAAGTTCAGCTGCAGCTACTCCTTGGCCTGCCTGACCCCATCTCTACACAACCAGGCAATGTCCCTATACTCTTCGCAGGATATCTGTCCCTGTTTCCACTGCCTGTGCATTTCCTTTTTGCCCTTTAGTTTGACCAGGAAGTGTCTGCTCATCCATGCTGGTCTCTTGCCTTCCTTTCCTGATTTCTTACACCTGGGGATTGAGATATTTTGTGCTTTATGGAAAGCATTCTTAAAGATCTGCCAGCTCTGTTCTGCTCCCTTGTCCCTGGGGACAGAAGCCCCTTGGAAACTGTTGACTAACACCTCAAAGACTTGAAAGCTTGCTTTCCTAAAATTCAGGGTCCTGACCTTGCTCTTTGCCTGACCCGTATCCCGCAGGGTACCAGTGCATGACCACTGCAGCTCAGGCTGCCTTCAATCTTAATGGCACCAGTCAGCTCACTTGTGTTGATGATGATCAGGTCCAGCATTGCATCCCCTCTAGTAGGGCTGTGTATTACCTGGTTTAAGAAGTTATCCTCAATGCGTTCCAGGAGTCTTCTGGATTGCCTGCAGGTCACTGATACTTTTACAGCAGATGTCAGGGTGGTTGAACTCCCCCAGCAGGGTGAGAGCCTGCGAGTGTGAAGCCTCCTGTAGCTGGAGTAAGAAGACTTTGTCAATACACTCCCCTTGATTGAGTGGCCTGCAGTAGACCCCAACCACAAGGTTCCCTTTGTTGCCTTGGTCTTTAATTCTTACCCATAAGCTTCTGACCTACTCATGGCTGTTCTTCAGAGACAGCTCTTCACACTCTATACATTTCTTGATGTAGAGGGCAACCCCTCCTCCCTCGCCTGTCCCTTCTGAACAGCATGTAGCCATTGATAGCCACACTCCAGTCGCGGGATCATCCCACCAAGTTTCAGTAATGGTGACTAAGTCGTCATAGCTTTCTAGCAGCACAGTGGCTTCCAGCTACTCCTGTTTGTTGCCCATGCTTTGTGCATTGGCACAGAGGTGCTTCAGCTTGGCTGTTGGTTGTGTCACCTTCTTAGAGGAACACCCATTAGTTCTTTGAGGTATTTCACTGGTGTTTCTGTCTTGGCTGCTTTTACCTCAGGAGCCCCTGGCTCATCTCTGTAAGACTTCAAGTGTGCTATAGTGTACCCGGTGTGCCTCAGAGCAGCAGGCTGAGAGCCCTTGCAACCCCTGTCCCTCTACCCTTGGTGTGTCATCGCACAGCTTGTCATGGGCAAGCCTGATATTATTCCCCCTCCCCCTTCAAGGGTAGTTTAAAGCTCTGTCAATGAGCCCTGCCAGCTCATGAGCAAAGACCCTCTTCCCACTTTGAAATGTGAATCCCATCTGATGCCAGCAGGCCTGGTGCTGCGTAGGCCACTCTGTTATCAAAAAACCCAAAATGGTGGTGGTGACACCAGCTATGGAGCCATGTATTAATAGCCTGGGTCCATCTGCTTCTTCCAATGTTGCTGCCCGCAGCTAGGAGAGAGGAAAAAATAGCCTGTGCCCCAAGGCCCTGAAGTATCTCCTGATTGCACTTGGACTATGCATGGCAGCTTCATTGCCACCCACACAGAAGAGCAGTGATGAGTAATAGTCTGAGGTCTGTTCCAGGCTAGGGAGTTTCCTAGTGGTGTCCTTAACCTGGGCTCTGGGGAGGCAGCAGACTTTCCTAAGAGGAGGGCCTGTCCAGCATGTTGGGCCCCCTGTTCCCCTCAGTCACCTTTTTTTTATTGTGTTTTTTTTTTTTTTTTTTCTCCTCGTGGAGGTGGTCATGGTATGGGGGTAGGCCTTTCTGACCTTGGCCACAGCTCTGGTGTAGATGGATCGTCATCTCCATCATCCATTGACTGACCTTCCACATCCACAGCCTCATAGCTGTTGTACAGAGGCACCTAGGAAGGCAGGATGGGCAAGGAGGGGATCTGCCTGCCAGGCCACATGTGGACTTGCCTCTAAGATAAAGTCATGTTTTCAATCAGATTGCTGTGACTTCAAACTCGGAGGCAGATTGGTTTTTATTTTAGACATATAATTATGGTAGCATTTAGGTAATTGAGTAATAGAAAAAACAAATCTGTTTTAAGAACACAGTCTGAAGAAAAATAGTACAACTGCAGTGATATTGTAATCTTTTTTTATATAAAGCCAAACATTTAAAGTAGGGACAGTGTCATCCACATAGAATATAAATCCTAGTAACTATTCTTATTTGTGTATTTTCCTTTTGAATCCAATGCTTGCGGTCGCATATTTCGGTGTTATCAACAGGATAGGTAATTACCTGATTATGCGTAACAGACTTTTTTCAAATCTGAAGAGATGCTTTAGCCATATAGAACAAGCAACACTTAGGATTTTGAGAAAATTTGTTAAATGATTAAGTTATTCTTAAATATGTTTATTAGAATTAACATTTTCAAGACCATTTTGATGTAATTTCTGGAATATGCTAAGAAGGTAGTTACTTCAAGCTTTTTGAATACTGCTGTATGCCTAGAACCAGTGAAAATTCAATGTGATTTCATAAAAAGTTAGTCACTTAGTGCATGTACACAAAAATGACTTTTTGATAATCTTCCAGACTAAAGCTTTCTCTACAGAACATGTAGCTGAAGTTATCTAAAGCGTGCAGTCATTTTCTCTTATAGCTTGCAAGTGAAAGCCAAGTTAATAGTTTCTTGGAAACCTTTCCTTTACAATCAAAACTAAAAAAAAAAGTAACTCAGTCTCCTCAGAATGGAAAAAATTTCCAAGTGTATATGTTTTTGTTTGGGTTTTAGTTGTTTTGATGTTGGGCCTTTTTTTTTTTTTTTAAAACTCATGATCTTTTACCCACCTTTAAGTTTTGGATTCTTCACTATTATAGGCTTTCTTTGTACTGCTCTACTAATCGTGGAGTTCTTGAGATCATGTCCTTTTCTCAATATAAATGAGGCTAATTAGAAATGCTCAGTTACTGTTTTCCTTAAATTAATGGTGTGATTCACTGAATTAGGTTATTGTAATTTCAAGAAGTCACATTTCACTGTTGTTCAGAGTTCTAAACTAGCATTTTCCTGCTAAGTTAAGAATATACTTTTCTGTCCTGAGAAAGCCTTTACTTTTTGGAAGAAACATTCAAAAAAATCTCTAACTTACTGATTTTGTTTTACTATCACATACCAGTTTACCACATGGTAACCTAAAATGTTTTCACTCTAAATAACAAAATCTGCAATATTGGTAGCTCCCAGTCCAGTTAAAGGAAAAATCCCGTTCTGGGACCAAGTGGAAAGCAAGGGAGGATGTTCTGCATTATTCTCAGTCCAGAGAACTGTATTGACTGTCAAGTTTAATTACCTGATTTAGTATTTCTTGGGATAAATATAATCAGCCTGAAAACATTCAAAATATTTTTTTAGAAACAAGGATATTTCTTGCAAAAATGCCAGTGCTATATGCTATGCTAGAACAATTTAATATAGGATAGTATTAACCAAGTCAATATATGCCTTGAGAGAAGAAAGTAGCGCGCTCATTTAGCACAAACTACTGAACAGGAGTAAAGTGTGAAAGATCTTAAACTGCTAAATAATTTTCCTTTTAGCATGGAAGACACATAGTGTGTGGCTTTTAATACTAATACTGTCGGAAAACTGTAATAAGTGATAATTTGATCACTGCTCTGTATTTCTCTTGTGTGTGGACAAACATAGATGGATGCCTTCCATCCACTATAGAAATTGTTTTGTACACGGTAGCAATGAAGCGAAGGTCACGACTGAGGTTTATCCTGTTCTCAGTGCGTTATGGCTGCTTCTGAATGATATTTGTAAGGGGTTGACAAAAGCTGTGCTTGCAGCTCAGGCACAGTCTGTACAGAGCCAGATGCCTGTTTCCAGAGCTGAGAGTCATCCCTTGCACAGAAGTCATGTGCAAGGTAGTGTGTTGCTGCTGTTTGTAGTAGTGCCCCTCTAGGGAAGCCTGACGACAGTAGAACAGTCATACTGTTGCTAATGGTACTGTGAAAGGTATGTAATAGAAGACTTGTACACAAAGTGATTTAGCTGCATAGCTGTGCCAAACCCTCGTGCTATCCAGTAACTGCAGGAAGGCAAATTAAAATAAATCATGTTTCTAGCTATATCTGGCAAAAAAATCTGAACTGTAAGCCTCCAATGTTCTTTGTCTCCAATTTTAAGATTTTTATTTAATGTAGCATAATCCACAAACCTATTGCTGGTGCTTGTATTCTTTCGTAGTACAGTTCATTAGGTAAAACTCAACTGCTGGGGTTTAAGAGGTATAAAGTTGCCAGAAAACAGTTCTCTGGAGAGATGAAACTGGAGGAGGGAGTACGGAAAACTCCATTTTTCGTTTGGTACTGTGCTGCATTAAAAGAAACATTTTTCTGAAATGCTATACCAAAAAAGAGAAACACCAGCCCAGGTACAGTGTAGCGAGTCTGTGTGGTTTTGAGGAGAAATTCTGTTCTAAGCTAAACAGTTTCATAGTGTAGTCTTTCAACTAAATGGGCTATTTAAACAAAGCCTGCTATTTCAATAAAAATTTTCTGTTGATTTCTGGGACTGGAAATGGGTTCTTCATACTCCCTTGTTATTCCTAGTAAATTTACTTAGTTTTTGATATGTCTTACAGTTAGGAGATCCGTAAGAATCCATATTTTTCTGCTGGAGATGTGACTTTCAGGAATATGGCCAGCATATCTGTGTAGACAATGTCCTCCATTTCTATATAATTTTGGAAGTGTGTGTGCATTTCAGCCCTTAGTGGTGTAAAGTACTTTCAGACTTAGGCTGTGTTTTTCTAAGAGGGCAGAGTTATTTAAGCCCACACGTACTATTTTTAGCACCTGTGAAAGTACATGGACAAGACTAAGTTCAGTGCTTTCATGGCAGTATAATACAGTCTTCCAGGTTTTTGGCTCTGCTCTTTGCTTTTACCAGGAGGTGGAGAAGAAAAGGAACAATTCAAGGTGACCCATGTAGTTACTAAAACCCTGTTAAAATTTCTTCCTGTTGCCTTCAGGGAGGTATGTAGTGAGGAAGTATCACACACAGGAGGCTATCAGTATGAGCCTTAGCACTTTCACTTTGTTTCCTGAAGAAAGCTTGTACAGGTCGGCTGTCTTTTTTCTTGTCACTCTTCTGGAGCCCAGCACCTGCCTTCCCTCCCTCAATTTTTGAAGCTCTTGGGAAAAGCAATTTGAGAAAGACAAGAAATTGCTGCAAAGATGATGAAACTAGTTGGCCAGAGACAGAATAGTGTATGATATCTCCAGTGAGGGAAGTCTCTGCTCATCCCCTTCTTAGATTGCTAAGAAGCCACAGGAGTGTTCAGCTGAAAAAACAGCTGGCAGGAGGCTATGCTTTCTGGTTCCTGCTACTTCTGCAGGTACTTTTTCCAGCAGCTGACTCCAATTTTATGGATTGCTTGAGAGTTCCTGAGACTCATTAATGTTGAAAGAGAGCATAGCAATAATGCTTGAAAGTTAAGAAGCTGCACTGAATGGGAACTAAATAGCTCCTCCATCTTTTTGCCTTTTATCTGAGTATGTTGTTACTCTATAGTTGAGTAGTGGAATAAAAAAGTGGTTTTTTTAAATAATTGACATTGATTTAATGCTCTTACCTTTCTATTTGGCAAGTAAGAAGGGCATCTTAAAATCGCTAGGCTGAAAATTGATGTGAAATGTATACAGAAAACTAATGTTTTGTTAGCTTTTGATCAGCAGTCTAATTCTTTAGTAACAACTCATGTTGCTATAAAACATAATTTTAGCATAAACTTCAGTGGATTTAATTGTGATTCACATCTGCTTACTGATGTTCAACAAAATTGGCTGTGGATGTCCAACTTTTAAGTTCAACCAAGTCATTTAGACTTAGGAGTCCAGAAGTTAGTGCTGTTGCTTTAAAAGCTGTTTCAAAATTTACTAGAAATAAGCTACTTCAAAGGCTTAAGCTTGGGTTTTTTCTTAAATTGTCTCTATTCTTTCATTTCAGGAGCAAGAGCTTAGTGCTAGAACACAAGCACTTCAAGCTGCCTCAGCCTCCTGCTCTTTCCGACCCAATGGATTTGATGACAACGACCCCCCAGGAAGTTGTGGCCCGACAGGTGGAGGAGGAGGGGGTGGGTTCAGTACTGTTGGTAGATTAGTTTTTTGACTATGAAGACAGCCTGGAATACACTGGTTCCAAAGCAGCCCAGTACTGTGGAGGACAACTAAAATATTGAACTTTGCAGATATTGTACCAAGTTTTGAGACTTGATCCTTGTTCAAAAGCAAATGTTGGGGTTTTTTTGGTTATGTTTTATTTGAAATAAATAAGTGCATAATGGAAAAAAACTACCTCTTAAACATTTGGTTGCTTTTGTAGTAAGGTATGCTTGCCCAGAAGACAGAAAATGGAGAGTTTTAAGTAGTTACTAATGACACTGCATTAAACTGAACAATGCACTTATGTCTGTTTCTATTGTACTCATCCACTGAATGAAGAAAGTTCATTTTTTACTCTGGTATTGCTTTATGTGGAAATCCTTACAAATAGGATGAACCGCATACATAGTCTCTCACCTCCACCTTATTTTCAAATCAAGTACCTTTATGGGATTTCCAGAGATGATGCAATTTATAATGAAGGCAATAACATAAATGTGATGTGATACATACTTTCCAGATTAAAAATTATTCAATATATTTCCAGTGTAAATGTAAAAAAATAATTTATAAATATTTGCTAAGTTGTTTTCCAGAAAAGTGCATGTTCTGTAGGAACGAAGTTTTTAAATAGAAATTAACTTTGTAGCATTTCTAATTGTTTTGAGGATTTTAAAATTATTTCAGGGAATATATCTGCCGTGTATTGGAAAGGAAGAGATTCTGTATGTGCCTTGCAATACTGTAACTTAAACTTTCTGAGGCTGCAGAAAAGGGGGAAAAATGTGCTAGTAGTCAATTTCTTCAGTCAGCATTAGAAATCAGTACACTTACAGAAAGCTGTTAGGTTTCCAGGTGTAAAAATCTGATAGTTTGTAATGCAGTGTGTTGCCCATGAATTTTTTTTAGTTAAAAAAACACCTTACCTAGTGATCTATAACTTTTGTGGCCTAGGTGTGGTGTAGGAAAAAGCTGGTCATAAATACTGAGGTATGTTTGTGAAATCATACAGGCACTACCTGTATTGATCCTTACTGAGGATCTGTGCTTCTAAGAGTCTTTTGAAGTTTTGCCTTCTGACTTCCTTTGTAGCGAGAAATTTCTGGCGAGTTCAGGTTTTAACTGCCTGCAGAAGACCAAAATGATGCTGTCTATGGAGCAGTGTTCGCTTGCTTGTTAGGCCAGCAGAGGTTAAGGATCTACTCTTTCAGTCTTGGCAGAAAGAGCAACTTTGTGTTTGATGTGCAATGAGGATAACAGAAGTAAAGGAGTTACTGTTGAATCTGGTGATTAATTCTTAACTTGAATAATCTTATAGTGAAGTGTAAATTTATTTAAAGTATTTTTACGAAATTCTACACTGTTTTACTGTGGTTTTATATTCTACTAGGTGACAAAGTGCATCCTTAAAAAGCATGCAAACCAGGCAGGTGTTAGCTTAACTTACAAAATAAACGAATTTCTTAGAAAATGCCTTTTAAAAGCATAAAATAAGTTGAGAAGATTAAACCTTGTTCATATGATATCAAACATACAGAGTTTAGTCTGAAAGATAACTTAGCTTGCAAGCTATTTTTATATTATCACTAAAACTATGCTGTTTGCTCTGCAATAGGTTCATATGTTATTGCTCAAGAAAGGTAGAGCAGTTCACTTTCACTTTTTAATTGTTTCCAAGCTTTGTTTTGACTGTTTGTAGTACCTCAGCTCTGACCTACGCTTTCATTGTTATCTCAGTTGTAGGTCTCTGAACCAGGGGTTCAGCTGTGGAAGTGTGGAATGTTATGAGACTAGTGTGAGGAACGTTCTCATTTTGTTGTGCTTGGACAAGGTTTTCTTGAAAGCTTAATTCACCTTGAAATTCTTTAACTTTCAGTCTAAGAGGGTTTTTTATTTCCTTTTAGGCTTCTCTGCCAGTTAGCTCTAGTTTTAAAAGGTTTTGTGTGACAGGTTAATTTGTCTTTTTTTCTCACAAATTGTGAGGAAACAGTAAAAAGCTGTCTACCGTTTGCATTACAATGGGAGCATTTTGTCTCTATCAATTTACTGTTAATTTTAAAACACTAGTAAGTAGAAGCAAAAGCAAGTGTTTTTACTCTATATGAATTAATTTTGTAAAGGTCAGTTTTGTTTTTATATTCTCACAGTGAAAGTACAAATTATGTAGCCTACCTAAAAATAATGTGCAGTATGAGTTTTGTATGCCTGTTGTACTATATTTCATGAGTTTTTAGAAGGCTTTCTACATCCTTGTTTGCCTGTTCTAAATTAGGTGTTAAATATGGAAACTTTATACGAGAGTAACGCCAATAGGGTTGGGTCTCCTGAGGTATAAAATAATGGTATGTCTCAAACTAAAAAGAGCTTCTTTCTTTCCCCTTGTTGACTTCTGTTGACGCCGTTACTTTGGGTTTTACAAATAGATTTTAAAATTCAGAATACCTGTTTGCAAGTCTGCTTGCTGACCTGACAACCATCGTAGCCATTTCATACCTAACTTGGAAGGTTTCAATAAAACTAGTGGAAGTGGAGAATTATTTCACACTCTAAAATGTACATTGTTTTTCATTGTTTACAGTAATGGTGTTGCATGCTCCTATCTTCTGGACATAATATGAGAGAACAATGTACATATGGTACTTTGATTTCTGTTGCCTGTGAATGAATGCTGGATGGCTTGTTTATTGACCTCTTTGGCTCCACTCTTTGTTTTCTATCCAAGTTGTGAATCAGTAGAAAGATACAAAATACATAATACTGTTTCTGAAGCTTAGGGGTTTTTGTTGTTTCCTTTCATGAAATATGCTATTGTACCAAACTCAAGGATGGGATGTCTTTTAAAATCATATTTCCTTTTAACAAGACAGATTGTGTTTTCGTCTTTGTTTTAATAGTCAGTGGAGTTGTATTAACTTTCTTCCATAAAGTTTGTTTTGTACAGTTTTTTCATGTGGAGTATTACAGCGGATTGCTGTGAATGTCACCCCTGTAAACAAGTGATTACAGTATCTAGAAGCCCATTTATCTGGCATGTGGAGAGAAAAGGCTTCTTTGGATAACTGAAGTCACACCTGGCTAGCTCTTTCCTTCCTTTTTTTTTTCCCCCTCTTGTTCCCTGCTCTAGGAAGTTTAATATTTGCTTCTGTATGATGTGGAAGTTTAATTTCATGGGTAAGCCTTTTTTTATCTGTAGCAGTAAGGTGGTTTATGGTGTCAGAATACTATTTTCTGTATGAATGACAGGAAAAGGGCAGAAGCCCTGTGAGCTAAAGGAGTGTTAGAACAAAAGCAACTAGGTATAAACTTTCTGTAAATAAGATTTAGATTAGAAGCAAAGTTCCTAATTACTAGCACTAATTCTGGAATAGCCTTCCAGGCAGAGACCTACTTTGAATGAAGAGCCAAGTATATCTATGGAAGAAATTAAATGCAAAGTGGTGTCTGAATAGTAGGCAACTAGACTTGATAAACCGGAGGTCCCTTCTGGTCCCTTCCTAGAGTTTTGCTCTTCTGTTGGGCTCCCTATCTTGACACACTGACAGTTTTGGTTTTAAGGCTCAAAGATTAAAGTGTGAATGAAGAGAATATTAAACTATGACATGACAACAATAACAAAGGTTGACTGCTCAGATTTAGGTGGTGTTGGTCTCTGATTTAGGGGAATGAGGCATAAAAATTAGGAAGCGATGAAAAGTGGAAGCTAGGAAGACTTGTGATCCAAAGAAATGTGCTCAGTTTCTAACAGCAGGGCGATTCCGTGGTTGACAACCTACTATGGGATGTAATGGGTTATAGCACTTGATAGCCTCAGTAGGCTGTAATCAAGTGTAAATTATTGGACTTTTTCAATGGATGAGCAAATGGTCTATGATCTGAACAAGATCAGACTAGATGATCTTAAAAACTTTTGTGTTCCCTACAGCCAGTCGTCATAGGTCTACCTTAATTCATAGTTGTGAGTACTATGCTTTTAAACCATGTGGGTGTCAGGTTAAATGAAACAGTTGAGAACAGAAAATTGTGTGACACTGTTTGGCTTGTGTGCAACACTATGTTCTGCATGGACTTAAGAACTAGTGAGTTTCACTGTTTCAGCAAGTGGGTTCAAGAAACTTGGTCTAGGAGTTGAGCTCTGGCTGGAATGTGTAGTGTAGCACTGGCTTACCACGCATGCTTCTTGGTTTTTTAAATGCACACGCATTCCCCGGTTCACTGTGAGTCTTGCTTTTGCTTGAATGAAAGTATCGAGATCAAAGGGAAAACAAACTTAAAACCAGCGAGAGTGAAGCAGAGATGAATGTTTTCAAATACAATATGCTGCTTTCTTATTTAAAATAGAAGTATTTTTTCTAAGTCTGCTGGATTCTAGGCAGATATGTGGATTCAGGATACGCATTTCTTGTTCCTTTTTTCCCAGTGGGGGTAATATTTTTAAGGCTCTGTTGTAGAAGTGCTGGAACAGACATGTCAAAATGCACAACCTGCTGCTGCCGCCTTGGTAAACAGTATGCTACCACATGCACTGAAATGCTGGGGTACTTGCTGGCTGGCTTCCCCGGGTGCTAACCGGGAGGAGCAGCTGCTGCCTGTGAACTGCACCTTGCTGGGTGGCCATTTGGGACCTTCACCATCAGCTGCATATGTGGGTGGCCAGAGGCAGCTGCCCTGGGGTGCTGCCTCAGGGTGTGTCTCCAACAGAGGCCGCAAGAAGAGTGGGGTGTAACAGCCAGCCCGGCTGTTCAGGTGCTAGCTCAAGTGGGGCACAGTCCCCAGCCCTCAAAGTGACACCTCCAGGCCCAGAACAGGTAACTGGGGGACCCCTTGCAGCACTGACAGAGACCAGCACTTGCGGCAAGCAGCACGCAGAGGTCGGGTTGATGGCACACGGAGTGGGTGTGTGGGAAGGAGGGGCAGGGGGATGGTGAAGGAGTGCTGCTGCAAGACTAAGTGAGACTACTGAACTGCAAAAAGGAAAGGATGGCGCTAATCTGATTTAGAAGTTGTGTATGTTTTAATGACAATTTCACATGTATCTGCTGTGAAGATGTAACTTTAGTGTAATTCCACCAAAGGATACTCTGTCAACAGTGCTTTGTTATCCAAGCCTAGTTCTTCTAAAATTTCCATTATATTAGCGTGCTCGAGGGGAAAAAAGCCCTCAATAGGCATATTGAAAATAAGAAAATAA